CTGATTACTATCCAGGCAGGTGATGGTTGCTCCTGGATAAGCCTAAAGGAAATGAATACTGAAAGCATAAAGGAGTGCTTGGTGGCAGGGGAGAGGAATTCTGAAGTTATTTGGGATTGAATGAATACTACAAAATAATCAATGCTGATAAATTTTAAGAAGTGTCCTGCCTGTTTAGATTTCTTAAGGTTTTAAGTACTGCTTAACCTCTCACTCTATCACTCTATCAAACTTGTTCTTCCCTTATGATTTCTTACTTGGTCCACGAGACATATTTGAGGGAGGTGCTGAGGTGGGAGGAGCACTGTGTTGGGTTTGTTTGGTTTGAAGTTTTTTTAGTTTTTCTGATTATTATGTTCTCTCACATCATTTGAGATATTCTCATTATTCCCTCTAACTAACTCTGTTAAGCTCTCATTTTGACACTAATATCTCATTCCATTTTGACACTCATTCTCATTCCAGTGTTAAAGTATGACTATTAAATTCTTTCAAAGTAAAGCTATGAGTTATGCTCCTTCCTTCTAAAGGAAATTATGATTTACTGGCAGAGAGCCAGGGTGAGACTGTCAAACTCCTATACTGTGCTTCCAGCCGTGCTTCTCTCCTGGTGTGTAACTTACTGGGATTTTCTTGTGCTTCTAACTTCAAGCTCCAAACTTAGGCATTGCAATCCTTATCTTAATTCTTGCAAGCATAGACTAATTATTTGCATTCATTTACAAGCCTCGTTCCTCAGACCAGTAGAAAATATATTGCTAATTAATTGTGTTTAACTGAAACACTAAATGGGCTTTTAGGTCCATACAGGAAAACTAATAAAAACCAAAGATGTGAAATTTTTTTCCTACCAGATACTTTAAATGGCTTCTAGGTTTTGTATTTCTCATCACTGGTTTTAAGTCATTTTTAGTCCCTCTGCATAGGGTTTAAGTAGCACCAGGAATGACAGTGTGCCATTCTTTTTTTATGTCATCATTTCTAATACAGTTAATGTTAAATTGAAAAAGTTAATGTTCAGAACATGATCCTTTAGACACCATTGAAAGACCGTTCTAGAAGAATATTTTTCCTTTATGTCCTTGTCAGTTAAGGATCAGTTTCCCATTCTGATTAAGGTGAAAAGACAACATCTCTGAGGTTTTATGCAGGTTGAAGGGCCTGTCTGCTCGCAGCTATGACTTTGCAAGGGCACCCCTTTCCATGTACCTAATAAATGTGACACGTATAGGGAACCTCAACTTCCTGCATGTAAGCTGCAGTAAAAACCACAGATTTCCAGATAAAAACTAATCCTGCACGAAAACCCTCATACAACTGCATGAATCTGCAATAACTGCATGTGAGGAGTCTGGAGGCTTCCACTGAGAATGGGACCAATATGCCAAAGCATTTATTCTCTCAAAAAAGATTCTCTCCAGGGCCTGAAGATTCCTGGGAAGCACAAAAGTATCACTGGCCAGATCATCTCACACCTGTAGATATTCATGGGGATCTCCATGTATGTCACACTTGAATTTTAAGACTGTTAGAGAGTTTGTCACTGCTGAGGTAATTCTCTATTGTTAAAGGAACTTCTTAGACTTTTCCCCATAGGTGTACCAGTGAGAGAAATCTGGATCTGGAATTTTAATCTACTCAAAGCCTGAATGTGGGCAGAGTGGCTTGTGAATGACAAAGAGCTAGAACTGCTTTCCAAGAGCTTCAGGGACAGCACTATACAGCCTGGAAATTGCTGAAACTGAGGATAAAAAAAATTCTCATAACCTGTGTCTCTTGGAAAATTGGTTAAGTATGTCAGAAGAGATTCTTTAATGTTCTCAAATGTTTCCTTTCAGGCATTCTTCCAGGCCAGCAATGGCTTTTGAATTTTCCCTAAAATACTACTTCAGTGCATTGGCCATCCACCTGTGCAAAGGGGAAGGGAGCAGAAAGCTTTTTGACACTGCCAATTCCTTTAGGCACCTGACTCAAGTGACACTTGTATATTGCAGATTAGTTTCCATTTTCCATTTCAGGTCAAACCTTTTATTTTCTTCTATTAAAGCACTGAACATATAATTATGAGCATTTTCTACCTCTTTCATTTTGCCTGAAACTGATCCTGACCCTTTGATTTTAATTACCCTGAGATGATCTTGAGTTACATTTTAAAACCCTCTGTGAAGCAGACCCATGCTGAGCATCTTAACTGTATTTTTCAATGTGAGGACTCCTGCTGTCCAGTCTTCAGCTATATTTGAACTGCATCCCAAAATCGAGGTTTGTAGTTAACACACACCCACACTTACACCTCCCACCCCACCAAGCCTTTCTCTAGAGCAGTACCTCCAATCAATCAGAACCCAGTTCTAGTTCAGATGTGGAGTAGCTGGTGGAGTTACCCCTTCAGTCCTCTCAGGAGAGAATTAAGGGCAAGGCCGTGCATCTGGTTAGGAACATTAGTTGTTCACTTTGTGCCTTTCTTTTATTCTGACTTTTAAAAGTGTACCCACCAGTATAAACAGATGGGGCTCAAAAGAGCAATTACATTAGCAGAATTTCAAAACTCATGGCTCTTTATGACTGTGTCTGTCTTGTCTTGGCCAAGGAAAATCATTATTATAATTCCGTCTGTATAAAAGATGCTTACCACCTCCTCAACAATTTGTTCACTGTTATCTCTATTGGTATGCAATCCTATACCCTTCTCTGATTTCTTATCACTGGTTGCTAACTCTGAGGGAAACAGCAAGAAGCAGGACTAACAAGAGAGTTAAATTAGCCCATTTTCACACTTCACCTCCAGTAAATCTGCACGTGAATAAAAGTCTTTAGTAACCAGAAGAGATAATAGAAGAAAAACTATAGCTCACGAGAAGCAAATCTCTGGCTGACTCCTCAGATGAAGGACTTTGCAGGTGTTCCCTGCAATGCTGTTCTGAGTCCATATCCTCTCATTGGAGACCTAATACTACTCAATCCATATAGTTTTGGCATAATTATTGGCTTAACCTTAAACCGTCCTCTCTCACAAAAAAGAAAGCACCTTGCCTCTGCACAGATGAGGTGTCAACTCTCCACAGCAAAGCACTACTCCTGTTACTGCAAGGAGAAACCTCATGCAGACAGTGGAATTAAGCTGGTCTAAAAATACATCCAGCATCTTCTCTTTAACAGAGAATGACAGATCACTGCTGGGATTAAAAATGCAGCTTTACTGCCTGAAAGGATTTTTCTTATTCCTTTGTTTCGTTCTGTGTTCAAAAATTCGCCTGGAAAACTCCAAGCTTAGAGTTGATTGTACAAATAAACGTTCTGAATAAGGAAATAGAAGAAAATATCATCATTAATTTTATCTAACATGAGGAATCCTAAAACAAGCCATCTACTCCCACAAGAGATATCACACTCTGGAAAGAACATGGTAATTTATTCTTGACAACACAAAGCACAATGCATGTATTTTCCAGATTTATACCAGGTAAATCATGAGCCTGTCTTTTACTTTCAACTTATTGATCATTAAAATCATGTGGTAAACCCCCAGCCTTCTAATAAAAAACAGCCTGATCATAAGAGAAGTGTCAATCATTGGAGACAGTCTATGAACAGGCTGAGTGCTGTGTACCTAATTAGGTTTGGCTGAGCTAACTGCACTCTGAGCATATCTTTCCCTGCTTCAGCTACAAAACCATCCTCAGGGCACAGCTAGTTTCCTATTCCCACTGTGCTGCCTTAATCTAGTAAACTTCCATCTCTAACTTCAATAAATACTTTATTTTCTTAATAGCAAGATGCTTGCTTCATTCCTCTGCAAGATTACTCACCCTGATTCCATCTCTGCATTAAATGTTTTTAGATTTGGGCATATCTGTGAAGACAGATACACAGATATAGACTAGATAGAGAGAGAGAGGGGGATATATATGTGTATATATATATATGTAGGATCATATCATATGAACATAAGCAAAAGAAGGTAAAGCAGAGAGGCAATGCAGCAAGGCAGACAGTACATAATTTCTGGAATAGCAATGCTGCACTTTTCTGCAACAGCTTCTGGCAGTTGGAAGCAATCAAACACAAACACCTTGCTCCTTACAACCAAATCAGAAATTTTCTGTGATGGCTTCAAGGAACTAAAAACTAAAACAGTTTTCATGAAGGAGTGAGAGGGAAGGAAAGCTTTTTTCCTGTGCAAAGATTTCTATGTGAAAGCAAGCCATGACTCTTAATGATAGCTGAGCATTACTGCTTCATTGTAGATGTTAGGCTTATCTTTTATATTTTTCTCTGTCTTTTTCATCCAAAAAAAAATCTCTATTGAAACTGAACCTTGAGAACTAAAACTAACGTTGAGGTTTATTTCAGAGCTGACTGAAGCGAGCATATTGATTTTCATAGGGTTTGTATCAGCTTCTTGGTATACTACATTTCTCATTCAGCCACGTAATATTTGGGATAATATTTCTCTGCATACCAGAAGGTCCTAAATGTTCCTATCAGAGAAGAAAACACTGTCATCCTGGTCCACACTGAATTGAGTGTGTATGAAGCCTTTACTTAAAAAAGGAGATTTGTTATGTTGTTTTGGTGGTTGTTATGGTGTCACATACCTGGCATAAATCAAAGTGCTGGTTTGGTTTGGTTGGGTTTTTTTTAATGTGTACGCAGCGTACCTAGAGAAATGGCACGGCTTTCAAAATGCCTGGATTCTAGCATCTAGGATTTCTCTGGAAATGGCAGAATTTGCTAAATATCTAATTTAGTAGTTTCCCAGCTGAAAACATTCATCATGCCCCTTCTCCTACCCCACCACTCACACACACCAGCCTGATGTCATGGCACGTTCCACCTCCCATAACAAATTCGGTGTACGGTCACAGCCAATCTTTCAGTAATGACTGTGGCATGCAAAGGACATGATTCAGCAAGACTGAAGCGCTCACTAATAGCACATTTACATTCCTATTGATTTGAAAGGAGCTACTAAGCAACTGAGTGAGGTAAATACTTACTTGCCTGTGTAAAGCCAGCAAAATGCTTTAAACTCTTGAATCAGAGCCTGGTAAAGGGTAAGTACCAGTGTTCCTTTGTAAACTTGCTTGATCAACGTTTTCAGGGAAAAAAATTAAACCAAGTGGACTTCCTTAGGGCTCATTAGGAGTCTGCTGAAAATGGTTGTTTCAGGGTAATAGAAACCTTTAGAAATCTTTTTTCCTCTTGGAACTTCACCAGCCACAAGCACAATGGGGGGCGGAGGGAGGAAAGTCTTACATCCCATTGTCTCCACAGGACTCCCTGTTCCCTACTGAACACCAGAGTCAATTTTTCCGAACAGCTTTGTCTTTCTGCCAAAGATTATGGACATGTTTGGAGTGTGTGGGTAAAGATTAAAACCTTGTCACTCACATATGGCTCGCTTGCTTTTTAGGTATTTCAGTAATCATACCTTCCCTGTAGTTTATGGATGCTTTGCAGTACTTAAGACTAAATTGTACTAAATCCTAGATTCAAACATCTCAACAAAGTAGTAGAGCTGTAGGTATCAAAATCGTGTACATCAATTTATATATATATATTTTAAAAAGTCAGTGTTTCTTAAAAAGCTCTATCTGTCAGCTTTTTTGTTTTCTGGGAGGCTTCTGGTGTGTAGTTATGCTCCTCCTAGAACGTGACAAAGTGAAACAAAAGCAAAATAATTTCTGCCTCCTTTCTGAACTTAACAACATGATTTTTTCCAAAAACAGAAGAGAGTTCAAGACCATAAAAATATTTTTGCTAAATTTTAATCCCCTGAAAATAAGGTCAGGCTAAAGCAAACAAAGTCCATTGAGGAGAAGTTGTTTTTAATAAGGCATTAACTTCAGTGGTGCTGTGAAAGTCTGCTCTGGTGTAGGTCCACTATGCAAATGTCAAATAGGAATATGTTCTCAAGATCTCTTTCTGCACGGTAATTGAAGGACAAAATTTAATTCTGGGAAGATTATTCCTCACCAGTATCTCAGGCCCAAATGCATACCTATAGCATGTCCTCCGTGTCACCAGGGCTTGGCTGGCTGAGAGAGACACTGTGATAGCAGTCAGTGGTGAGAGACTTCAAGGGCCTGCAGTGAGAAGAGTGACTAGACAGTGAGGAGAAATAGTTACCTGAAGTCTCATATTTGAGCCCTTATAGACAACAGATTTTTCTTATTCATCCTTCTGTGCCTGTCACTCTTCAGTTACAATTCCACCTTGGCAAGCACTGCCACAGAGGAGCCAGCAGCACTAGTTTAGGTACTGTGTTTCCTGACCTTCAAACAACCTTGCACTTGGCCTTGCTGAGCCTCATGAAGTTCACATGGGCCAAGCTCTCCAGCCTGTCCAGGTCCCTCTGGATGGCATCTCTTCCCTCCAATGTGCCAAGCACAGCACACAGCTCAGTGCTGTTGGAAAATTTGCTGGGAGTGCGCCCAACCCCACTGTCTGTGTCACTGAAAGTGCCAATTCCAACATCAGCCCCTGAGGAACATCACTCATCTCTGGTCTCCACTAGGACATTGAGCTGTTGGCTCTGAGTGTGACCATCTAACCAATCCATTACCCACCAAGTATCCATCTGCCAAATCTGCCAAATCCATGTCTTCCCACTTCAGGGACAAGGACATCACTGTGAGGGGCAGTGTCAAGTGCTTTGCACAGCTCCAGGCAGATGATGTCAGTCGCTCTTCTCTTATCCATCACCAACTAACCCCATGCCAGCAGGCCAACACATTCATCAGGCACGACTTGCCCTTAGTGAAGCCATGCCCTCAGGCTGTCATCACTCTCCTCCTTATTTTCCATATGCCTCAGCATAGTTCCCAGGAGAATCCACTCCATGATCTTGCCAGGCACTCAGGTGAGACTGACAGGTAGATAATGCTCTTTTGAAGAATACACTGTCAGAGGAGGACATGGAAATACTGCCCCCAGAAGAAACAGAACTGCTGGCCTGGCTTCCTACAACTGGAAGCCAAAATGTCCCTTTGGGGCCTCCACCCAGGTGAGACCATACACTTAAGTCATGTTAGGAAAAAGGAGGCTGGTTGCTTTTGCAGATTCTTCAAAATACAAACTGCCTTATAAAGAATCATCTCATGGTTAGTGGTAGTACAAGAAGGATGGCTGGACTGGAGGATGTCAAAGGCCTCTTCAGACTGATGATTCTATGATTCTATCACTTCTGGGAAGCTTTCTGTGGCAATTTTCACTGTATCTGTCACACTTCAGGAAAGCAGATTTTCTGAGGACAAGAGAGCAGAGTTGTGTGTTTCTTTAGACAGCATTATAACCTGTAATCCAAGGTGGCTGGGTGACTTCACTGGTGGCTCCAGCCAAAGGGCTAAGCACAAGCCATACCAAGACAGAAAGCTCTGGCGTATGTCAGGAAGACACAACAGTTGTGGTGCCATGAATAGACAGAGATGTTTGGGGGGCAATTCCATCTGCCTCGGCCAAGCTCTTGAAGTCCTGTTCTTTCCTCCTCACTCAGCTTTCTCAATGAACACTGATTGGGTTATATTAAAACTAAGAGTGGACTTACACAGTCCTTAACAAAGGACTCTGTCCTTTGGCGTCATGAAATCACTGATTTTTGAAACAAATGCAGTTTCTGTGTTGTTTTGCTGTACAATCCAAGTGGCATTAAAAAATGGAAAGTGTTGCAGTAATATTGATCCACCAAACCCTCCCCTAAAAATATCACTTTTTTCCTATGTTTTAGATTACAGTTAAACTACCAGCAATAACCTCTGAAAAACTGTCTATTGCTGCTTGGCTGTTCACAGTAACTGGGGCTTGTACACTGCAAACCTCTCAGCACTCAACAGTCAAAGGTTTTGTGCAGCAATTTGAAATGTCCTCTTGTGAAAACAGCAGCTCTGGTTTTATAACTAGAGCACTACCATAATATTGTTTTTACTAGCTCAAGGTTCAATTTCAATACAATAATAAATAACAAAACTCTCTTCAAACAGCTCCTTAAAAATACAGTAGTTTAAAAAAGAAACTGCATAGACAGCAACTCTTCCTGTTTAGGGAAATGACTAAAGGCCATGCAGTCTCTCCCTCCTGTAAAGGAGGAAGAGGAGAAAGAGAGAAGTGACAAGAATCAGACACTGCTGTCCTGAATGATGGAGCTGGCACTCAACATCGTGTAAGTGGCCTGATCTGATCTGTAGTGTGTGCATACTGCTCTCAAGAAGGGGATCCTGCAGGACTTGCAGGCACTGGCAGTTCATCTTCTGATTCACTGTTTTTAGAAGCTGCATACCCAATCTATTCTTCATCTAATTGGTGATAGCTGTGATATTGTTAATGTCTTCTGAGACAATGAGGCCAAAATTTGTATACTGCTCTGAGAGTAAGAAAAGCACATTACCTTAAAGCCAAAGCCCCTTGGAAAAACAGGAACAAATTCTGGTCATTCTTGCACTGTGAATTTGACACATCCCGTAATATAAATAATGTTATCCCAGAATCACACTGTCCAGAGCAGTGCTTTTCTGTCATCCGAGACAAACTTGAGTAAAACTCTGTGAGCTGATTTTGGGTTGAGAATTGCCTGGAACCTGGCAATGAGCCAGACCAACTTAGGTTCATGTGAGCTGGAGAGCCCCAAGCAGTCTCTCTTCAAGTACCTGGCTTAACTAAAATATTCTCATTTCAAGCTTCCTTGCAAATCATTAGTAAGTATTGACTTTAGTTTTAGTTTCTGTTTATCTTTAAGAAGCAATGTCTTGAAGCTTCAGGGTACCAATTCCTTCTTTCCATTATGTGTATTGATTTGCCAAAGGATATTATGTGGTGCTTTGGAACCTCATTCTCAGAATTTTAGTAAACTGAAAATCTGACAGATTATAGGACTTCAAACTTCAGACTGCACTTGCAATTAATCCAGTGAATTTCTCTCATATATCTAACAATTAACAGAAAACTAATTTGAAAATGTAAATGACATTATAATGCTTACCCTGCTACATTTATACTAAACTGCCTGCAAAAAATACAAAATGGTGATTCTCTGAAGGAAATGCTGTTCCAAGTAAGGTTGTGAGTCTATGAACTGTTTGAAGGTACTGGATGTAAGTAACTACACAAGAGGCCTGACAGCCAAAAGCTGCTGTGAGATTGCTTTCAGTGAGAGCCACCCCCCACTCGCTTTAATGGATAACAGGGTCAAGCACTTTCATGGGTGATTTTTTTTTCATTCTGAGAAGTAACTAGCTAACCTCAGCAGGAGAGAAAAACTCTTCAAAATCTTAATACATTTAAAGAAAGCCACCTGTTGGAAGCAGTTCAATGAGCAGACAGTTGTTGAGAGATGGCACCATGGTTAAATGAAAAAATAAATATCAGTTCACTCACAAGTCCTTTAATTTTGCCTCTATCTGTCCAAAAGGCAGTATTATTTGGGGTTTTTTTCAATTAATATTTAGCCTTGAATTACATCACTGCATGCTTGTGGTGCATTTTGGTATACATTCAATAATGTAAATCTGTTATAGAGAACTAACTGCATTTGCTGTTGAACATTTTATTTTGAACATTTTTGGGATGCTCTCCTTAACTAAGAAAAGGCATTGTCGTGGTTTTGGTACTCGTGTTTTTCTTGGAGAAGTGCACAATAATTTCATTAGAGCTACTGTAGAAGATCATTAGGAGCTTACCCTTTGTGTATATGGGAATGATTTTTTATTTGTATTTATGAAGAAAGATATAAGAAATACAAAGCAAGGTTACCTGAAAGGAGTGGAAAGACACTAAACGTGTGAGTGAAATCAAGCATTTTCAAATGTAACTTTTTCTTTCTTTTTTTTCTTTTCAATTTTAGTGTGGACAAAACTGGCATTGAGTTTTGTGTCTGAGTGATTTTCTTTCCCTGAGCTTGTGAGTTCATTTTCTCGCATGACATATCCATGGGTGGACAGACTGCATGTCAGTCCAACACCTCAGCAAAGTTAGTACAGCCCAGTCATTGCAGAAATGCTTTATTTTCTCTCTGCTTGCTTATTGGCATTGCCAGCCTTGAGTCTCCTCAGGGCTCTCAAAGCTCTAAAACATGGCAAATGCATCACCTGATGGGTCAGCAAAGACACATGACCACAACCCCTCTGTCACGAGTAG